CTGCTGCCCTATACGTGTCCCATCTGGTCATGACTGTTCATATTGCTCTGTTCAGTCACTCACGCATGCCAGTTGTGGTTGTTCCCATAATATATTTAATAGGAGCTTTGAAAAAAACAGGGAATTGCCAATGAATAAAATATACTTTGGGATGACAAGAGTTATCCCTGTATTAAGAATCAGTGGCTGTATGTACTATTATGTAATACCAAGACTGGTACTAGGCTATTCAGCATCACCCCTGCCTTGGTCCTCAGCCCTTTCCTCAACTAATTGGCGGGTTGAGGACATGTGTAGTCTGGGGAGCACTTATACCCTGAAGTGAGAATATATTACAGACTATCAAAATTACTCATTAAAGTCCATAACTGTATATAATTCAAACTTTACTAACTAAAAGATAAATACAGATATCCCTATCAGTAAATGCGTTTTAGTAAATTATTAGTCATTTATTTACTGATATACTCATATATGCTATTTGCTTTTGTACATATACTTAGAATACATGGATTACAATAGTTCTCTGATAATTCCTTGCTCAGTTTCTGAACGATCTCTTCCTTGAACAGTAGAAACCTCTATGCTCAAATATGCTTAGAAAGCTACATAAGACTTGGAGAGTATGCAATCCTTTCATCATGGAGTAAAGCCTACCTGTTACTTGGTAAAGCCTACCTGTTGTGGTGAAATATGCAGGAATTCGGCTGGGCCAAAATTGCAAGTGTAGAATGTATTTTGAAGGATACCAGTTGTCCAGATGTATAGATATTGTTAGAAAAAATATTTAATCCAAGATACCATTTTGAATCTAACCATCTGATTGGTATTCCAGAGGAAAATTATCCATTACGTTTTTGTTTTGAATTGCTTTAATATTTTTTTCCTTTTTGTTTACTATTTTCACACATCAACATTCCGCATGTTGGCAGCTGATCAAATAATACAGCCCTTAGTAGTCTAGCTTAGCAAAAGTGGAAGGATCATCTGCAGTGCAAGAAATACGTTTAACTGTAAAAAAAAAAACAACAACAACAACACAACAACAACAACATTAGCTACTTCGCCAATAAAATGCTAATAAACATACTTAGATTTGGTTATATTTTTATGGTCATACCCTGTGATGGTGATGTGGATTTACGTCCCGCACTGAATCTTCCAAAGGACTTTTAACCTCAGACCATGATTAGGATTCGAACCCACTCGCCTGCTAAGGGGAAACTTCCTTGTCCCCTGTGACCATATATTGTACCCGAGTCGTTATCAGCTTTGTATTGTATATACCATTTAATCATATAGATATTCAAGGCATTGTCATCATGTCAGCTCACACACTGAATTCCCAGTGAAATGTGTGGTTTGAGAAACTAGTATTCGCAATTTTCAAATCATCAATTTCGTGTTCTGCGAAGCGTTTTGCTTTTTTTTTTTCCAGGTGATTCTGACTGCACTAGAACTCACGAATCAGGTAAACGATTAATGAAACTCATATCGTTATCTACTTTTTTCCTTTCGTTCTGTATGATCTACTGCTTTAGGCTCTATTTTAAACAGCTGTTATGCGTCGGACAAAAACGTTTGTCAATCAATCAGCTCCGTAAAAAAAAAAAAATATATCGATAAGGGTATTCTACTTGCATATCGTGACGGTTTCATATTTAGTATAAGAACTGTATAAAAATTGGAAGGGAGAACTGCCATTTTCCCAAAGCAGTTTGAAGGACCGGTTAACGTAACATTGAAAAAGTAGATTTCCTTTTAGACTCTGAAATAAACTCTACGGTTTCATATACCGAGTTTCACTACATACTATACGTTGACGAAGCGTTAATCCTTAACCTTGAGAAAAGGTAATTTCCAGGACCCAGTATTGCCACGATACGCTGGTATGTTTGTCCTGGATAACTAC